TGTATTATTCATGTATACAGAGAGTCTCATAGTACAGACCAGGCAGTCCACAGTGCCCTAAGTATTCCAAAGAAACGCTATTCTTCCTCTTTAACTCTTCTACATTCCTGACTGGAAAGTGGAATTTTCCAGAAATGCCATGACCTATAGTAAACACAACAGATGAAGGACCAAAGTAGACACTGACTGGGGTGTAAAATGTAAAGCAAGCCTTCTCCACACTAGCTTGTTTATATTTTTAAAAATGCAGGGAAAGCTTTTTTATTATCTAAAATTATAGTAACATTAGGTTTCTTACTGTTTTAAAACTAATATCAACACATACTTCTTGGTAAAATCAACACATACAGTCTTTATAAACAAAAGCTCTTTGGAGTCTTAAATAAGTGTTTAAAATACAAAGTTCTGAAGCCACGATGTCTTAGAGCCCCATCAGTGTTTCTCAGCAGGTGTAGTGGTGTGAGGCCTGGTTGGAGGTGTGGGCCCTTAGGCCCCACTCTGTCTTACTTATCCCGTTGTGCATTTAGTGTCTCTCCCACTTCACAAGCCTGTTTACCTAGCAGCTCCAGGTCCTCAAGGCCGTTGACCTTCAGGGTCTTGTGAGAGCGCAGGTTGCTGCCGCTCTAGTAGTTGCTGGCCTTGTGTCCAGTTGTTACATAATTACACTGGGCCCAAAGAATTATGGTGAAGAGTGTCTTAAACTTCCAGTTTCAAATCCAACGTTTCAAAATGTCTACCTTCTCCATCTTTTGGAAAAGTCATCTTTCAGACATGTCACAGGTCATTTGGAACAGGGCTGTCTTAAAGATACTAACCTCAGGATCAGCACTGAATTTAAACAAAAGACAGCCCCTCACATCTACCCTGGTAATGAAACTGCTGTCTACATGGCGCCGTGCTGCTAGCCCAGTAAACGAGTAACAGACAGCATGGCCCAGTGAAGTGCCACCTCCAAGGAGCTACGTGGCTAAAGGCACCGGCTTTCCTGCTCTCTAAGTTGACATAAGCTCATGGCCTGGTGTCAGTCCCCAGCCAGAAAAGCCCAGGCTGTCTTCTGATGTGGGCCTTCCTTTGGAGTCTGCTGAGCTAAACAGGTGTTGATGAAAGGTGTATAATCCTTGGAGATTATCTTCCCCTAAAAGCAACTGAAGACTGAATTCACATAATCCAGACAGATGGGAGTTGGAACTAAGTACCAAGCCAAAGTTTCTACTTTGTGTCTGAGGAAGTTCTGATGGTTTGGAATCAGACGGTGACAGATGGAAGTGTACACAGATGAGGGGAGACACTTCTGAAGAGAAACCCTGATCTGTCACACCCTTGCTGAGAATTTTTCTTTTTACTCTTGCTCCGCTAGAGCATCCTGCATAGCACTTGTTCAAAAAGAGGGAATTTCTAGATAAGTGAGGGTTGGGGGTCAAATTGACTTTGATTTATTCATGACTGCAAAAATAAACTTTGACCTCATCCAACTAGTTACCTCCATAAAGTGGGTCTGTCCTGCTTTCCTAGAGGCAGTTAACCACTTCAGTCTCTGGTCAGGGCCAGGTTATGAGAATTGACACTTTAGGCCATCCTCAATAGAGACAAGGTGCCCTGTGTGCTGTGCTTGGAAATGCTTGTGTTTGTTTCCCTACAAGAGGGTCATCTCTGAGTTAAGCATGGAAGGCCTCCTCTGCCCCTCAGACCTCCCCGCTCCCCTGTTCACAGTTCCAGTGAAGCAGAGGAGCAGCAGACCATGCTAATATAGGGTAGTTACTGCAGGTGATGGTGTGGGCTGCGCCGTTTCCATTATGAAGTTCTCTCTCATGACTGAGTGCTGTTTTCCCGCATCTTTGGCTCACAGGCAAGTTCAAGGGAATATTCTCACCAGCAGTTAATATCCTGAAACTCCTGGGACTCGATTTCCACAGGTCACTTTTTCCATCTGAAATAGTAGGTTTCCCCAGGAATAGTTGAAGTTTTCTGATTGAAAGTGTCCTGCGTTAAGGAGAGGTGTGAGCACACATGGGGATCTATTCACCAGGGGTGTATTGTACTTGTTTCAGATGCTTCAGGACAATACACCGGCTTCCAAGATAAGTGCTTTTTATTTCCCTGCATCTTAGATCAATTATTTGGAATCTTTTTGGTAAGTTAAACTTAAGAGCTTAAACCATCACATCTCTGTAATTAATAAGTCAAATGTTCTTACCAAAAATTACTGTGTCTGCTTTGTGTTCTAACTGTGCTTTGAAGAGCTGAGAGAATGTAGGAAGGAACAGAAGGTGGCAAGAAGCCCCTCACTTAACAGCCGTGTTGTGAGGGACAGCGTAGGTCAGTGCCAGCAGCTCAGCTCCTTCCAGGCAAGTGCCTGCCGCAGACGACATTTATAGCCTGTCTGCTGTCGTCAGTGCACAACTGGTAAGCACAGCACCTTTCTAAACGGCACAGATTGTCATTCTGCATGTGATTTCACTCAACTAGTAAGAAGTGAGAAATGTATTACTGGTCATTTTTATTGTTCCTGGTGGATTCTGTGTACCATCAGCACATCCTCTATCATGGGGAGATTCCAAACAGTTCTTGGCAAAAATGCCATTTTCTTCCCACTGCTGTAACTTCTTTGAGGGTCCCTGGATCCCTAGAGAAAGAGGAGACACTGTACAGGTAGTGCCAGGTCCCTGGGGCATTGGCTTTGGCTGGTGTTTAGTGCTCGTACATGGCATCCCTAAGTTGCGCGCGCTAGGTTCTGACTGAACATTGGATTTCCAGTCATATCCTCAGCACCCTGAAAAGTATCCTTTCCAACAAGTGCTTGCAGAGTCTTTGCCTCCTCTTGACCTCTGAGTGCACAACAGGAGGTGTTTTGCTGGAAAAGACCAGTGGGCTCAATGTCCATGACACAAAGAGCATGTTACCTTCGACCTATGAGGCAACAGTCATGGGCTACAGTCAAAGGTCCAAGGAATTGTCAGGAGCCGGCCTTTTGACATGGCAGGAGTGGCGAGTACTGAAAGGCTTGTACTCCAGTGCTCCCTGGGGGCTCAATTTGCTGGTTTTGCTGACCTTATGGTTTTTTTAGACTCAGCGTACAAGAACAGGAACAGCTAGAGTAAAATGGAGGGGGGTGGGTGGGAATGCTTCCCTCTTAGTTCAGAATGTGGGAACATAGAGACGGAATAAAAACCGTGCCTCCTGGATAAGGTAGTCCTGTGCAGTGGCGATCATAGGTAGGAGGGGGAACTGTGTCACCAACCTTCTGCTTGTGCAGAAACCTTCCTTGTGGGCCAAATTTCTGCCTTTTACAGTGGGATTCACATGAACCAATGAGGGCTTGGGGACTTCCATAGTCACTGCAGGGAACTTTTAATTGTGGGATCTCGTGGACAAGGGGAGCAGTTCTCATCCATGGCTCTGTACCTGCGCTTCATCCCCCACCCCTGGCTGAAGTACAGAGCTGGGGCCCCCAGCCGACTAAGAAAGTTTCTCAGAATGTGCCAAGCACTTAGAGAGCAGGTGATGGGATGTGCCAATTTCTGTTCTGAGGTTTGGGCTTCCTTCACTACTCTGGCAACAAAGCACTCCCCATCTTGACAGGACACAATGTGAGCTGGCTTCAGCACAGCAGCTGTCCATGTTAGCATTCCTGACACCACTATTGAAAACCTCAGTATGGCAGAGCCACATGCTGACAGTGGTTTGGCTGTAAAAGTCTGGTGCTTGTTTGCATTCAATCAGATACTTAAACATGATGAGATGAGTTAAACCAAAAATTGTAGGCAAAACCCAATGTTTATTTTATTTCTATTCTGTATGATGACATTCAAATTAAAGCCATCAAGATGCAAAATGCTGTTGAGGTAGAGTATCTTGTTCTAGATTTCTGCATTATTTGCAAGTGGTTTTGAGAAACAGGAAAAATGGATCCGAGGCATTGATTTCTCTTTGTAACAACAACAAAAAACTAAAACAGACAATTCTTGCAAGTGCAGCCATTTTGGAAATGTAGATAAAGAGGAGGAATGCTGACAGTCTGGGGTGGTTACAGAGTAGCCTGGTCTGGTAATTGCTGCCACCTACTGTATGTGGCTGATGTTTGTTTAAACTCAGGAAGTTCACGAAGGTGAGGCTGTTGAAATAGTTAGAGCAAAGAAGACATCACTACTTGACAGACAACATTTCTTCTCTACTCCATTAGTGGCTCTTAATTACCGAGACAGCCGCCAGCTTTCCTTCATTTCCTCTAAGTGGGCTTAAAGTCTTCTCGTTTCAGAGTTTCTTTGCCAGAGAGCCTGTACAGTTCAATCTTCACGTGCTCAGGGGTTTGCAATATGCACATGGAATAGTCTGTGTTTTGATTTGCCATGTATTTTATTTGTTATTGTAGGAGCAACATTCTCAGGTTGGTTTAAAAGTTAATATTTAAGAAAAGGGTAAAAATAGAGCTAGCAACGTAGATTTGTGTTCGCTGCCATAGGCTTGAAAGCCAGTGTTTTATTAGTCCTTAAACAGCTTCAGATCAGCCGGCTGGTTAAACGGAACAGGCGATACAGACTGTGTCAGCCAAAGCCCCTTTATTAAGCCCCAGCTGTCAAAGGGTCATGGGGTCCTCTTGTGGAAAACAACCTGCCCATTAATGTCGGGTGGTCCCTCCCCAGTATCCGAGACTTACTGACATTGAGTATCTGAAAGAATTTCAGGCTTCCAGGGGATTTGTGTGTCGAGACTCCCCAGAAGTACTCTTTAGTCTTAGCTTTCAGTCTCTGTGACATATACCACTACCACATATGTTTGCTGCCACCAGCTGTGTGAATTGGCTTACAGTGTCACCACAAAAGATTGACAAGCAGAAATTTGGTGAGGTGACATCACTGTATTGAAAGAGGTGAGGTGCTTGACAGGATGCACTTCACCTGTGTGATGCTTTCAGCTTGCTGCTGAGGACATTGTTTCTAGTGGCTCCTGGACATAACTCTGAACCATCCAAGCTGAGTGGAGTTCTGCTTTTCCTGCCCTAGGCTATTTGCTTTCTCGAAGAGAAGGCCAAGCAGGGTCTCCCGAAAAGCCACTCTCTGATCTGGGCCGGCTCTCCTACCTGGCCTACTGGAAAAGTGTCATCTTGGAATACCTCTACCACCACCACGAGAGGCACATCAGCATCAAGGCCATTAGCAGAGCGACAGGCATGTGCCCACATGACATTGCTACCACTCTGCAACACCTCCACATGATTGACAGGAGAGATGGCAGGTGAGTGCCGTGGTCCCTGGACAGGAGAGGCCTCCCCACAGCAGGATCAAGCCTCTTGTTTGTGCCTTTGCTGTGCTTTTGTTTTCACAACCTGGGTCAAAGGAATCTGGATTGGCCAGGGACTTTGTTGTTTTAAGACAGGTTCTTAATAGCCCAGGCAACCTTCAAACTTGTGGTGATCCTTCTGCCTCAATGCTGGGATTATAGATATACACCAGCATATCTGCCTAATCTTGAGTTGGTTTGGTTTGGTTTGGTTTTGGTTTTGGTTTTTTAGACAGGGCCTCACTGTGTAGCCCTGGCTGCCCTCCATCTCGGTTTGTTAGACCAGGCTGTCCTTGAACTCACAGAGAGCCTCCTGCCTCTACCTCCCCCAAGTGCTAAGGTTAAAGGTGTGTGCAACCACACCCAGATAGTTCTCAGTTTTTGATCTCACTTTGTTTTGTTTCCCTATATTACAGGTTTGTCATCATTAGAAGGGAAAAGTTGATATTGGGCCACATGGAAAAGCTGAAAAACTGTTCCCGACCCAATGAACTTGATCCAGAGAGTCTAAGATGGACCCCAGTTTTAATTTCTAATGCTGTCGTTTCTGAAGAAGAGCGGGAAGCTGAAAAGGAGGTGATGATGGGCTCCGTCACTCGGAGTTGTGACTTGTGTCTTGTAGATAAGAGAGGCATTAGCTTCCTTATAAAAGCTCGGTTATACAGCTTATGAAATGATAGAGCACTAATTTATCCTAACTGAGTAAGACATGATCATTTTATTGAATTGAGTATGAAAAATGAGACATTTATCATTGATCACAAGGCAGCACTCTTACTGCTGACCATGTGTAATCAGATCAGACTTGGTGCTGGACTGCAGTGCTGCCATGTCAATCGATTCCCCGTGTTTATAAACTTGCTTGGGGAGCTCCATGCCAGTGAGCATGTGATGTAGTGAGAAAGGACTCGAGTCAATTCGCTACATCATTAATAGCACTAAATAGCCCGCGAAACCCAGCCATCTTAGGTTTGTTATCCTAACTGATGCCGAACGTCCTGAGATGATGCAGCTGGAATTGCTTGGCCAGCTGACTGTCCTGATTACAACTCACTCAGAGACCGTTTTCCATTGATCCTGGAGCCTCCAACTGTGTAACTGACCTCACTGATCACTGTTTTGCCCCCCCCCCCCCCACCAGGCTGAACGACTAATGGAACAAGCTAGCTGCTGGGAGAAGGAGGAGCAAGAGGTCCTGTCGTCCAGAGTTACCAGTAGGCAATCATCTGCAAAAGTACAATCAAAAAATAAATACCTGCATTCTCCAGAGAGGCGGCCAGTGGCTGGGGAGCGAGGACAGCTGTTGGAGCTGTCCAAGGAGAGCAGTGAGGAAGAGGAAGAGGAGGAAGAAGATGACGAGGAAGAGGAAGAAGATGAGGAAGAAGAAAGCATTCAGACATCTCCCCCACGGTTGACTAAGCCACAGTCAGTTTCCATTAAGAGAAAGGTGTGTGCGTAGTCAGCTGTTTTCAGTCTGTCTGGCTTCTCTTTGCGGTTTTTGTTTCACTCTCGGTAGCTATAGTTTACCTGTAGTTTATGTCTCAGTGATCCAGTGTCAGAATCATTTATCTTAGTTGTGGTTGTGTTTACTGTTGTTAGCATGCTAACCATGCTAGTCTGGTGGTCACTGCCACCTGCTGGTCTGCAGGTCAAGAGTAAATCCACTCATGATGAGCACATAAGCACCTCAGAGGCCTGGGAGGTCATACTTGACAAGGTCACATGACTCACTAGAGGGCCAGCCACACCTCAGAGCTCCAAGCCCAGTGTTCCTGCAGTAATGTCCCTTATTCTCACATGGGGTTCTTAGGTATCCCAGACCCTTTGTTTTGCTGCTGGTGTTCTGCTTGTGTGGCCAGCTACACAGAAATGAAACTCTTCATATCCTGGTCACCAAGTGGTCTCTCCAGATGACACCAGTTCATGCCCAGTGGAATAAAAAGTACAGCATTGGGTTTTGTATGTGGTTAATTGTTCTCCCATGTCTGCTGCCTTTGTCTGTAGTTTCTATCTGTGACATATAGCAGGGCAGATATTGTTAATACAGCCTTGACAAGGAGGGATAACATGGTAGAAATGAAAGCTCTTCCCGGCCTGGGCCGACCTCACAGTTGGAGGGAGCAGGGGGACCATCCCATGAGACGCACGTGTGACTGCTGAGCATTTTAACCTCTTATACAGAGAAGACAGTCTTGTGTTATGGGCAGAATGAGAGGAATGTGATCTGTAAACATGGAAGGCCAGAATCTTTCCAGTCGTGGTGTGGGCCACAGCTCTCTACACGGATTCAACCTGAAGGAAACACTCTCTATATTGGCGGCATTTGTGTTTGGGCGGAAAGGTGTAGTGGCTTAGGGAGGGTAAGCAATAACAGCAAGTGTTAAATTACTAATATGGTTAAATTTTAGAATTATTAGTGGGCCTATATGTGTTAAGAACATTGAAAGCATTAAAAATGTAAGATACAGGAATTCTTTGGTACTGTTTATCTGGAGGTAATGCCCCTACTCCCTCACCATGCTGGGAGTGGAGGCCAGTGCCTTGTCCATGAGAGGTTAAGTGGTCTGCCAGTGAGCTCCACCCTGGCCCTAGAGCCTGACACTCATGTAAACATACTGGACCCTCACAGAGCAGCATTCTGTCAATTTCATGGTTCATTGACACATATCTTAGCATTGAATCTACCTGTTCCTTTATTTAAATTTTATATATCAGATGGTTTTTTTCCTTGGGAAAACAGCTTATTGTTGCAACCACAGGAAATTATTTGTGCCATTATCTTATTCAGAGACTGCATCACTTTTTAAGGTATCTTTCATATCAAAATAGTTTGTAAAATTATTAACTGCCCAGCAGCCAAGACTCTCTAACTCTGTGGTTTCTAACCAGTAGAGTAATTATCCAAGCACCCTTTCATTTCTGGGACTAGGAGGTTCACCTAACCCCACCATGTTTCTTATAGTGCCTGTTGTGCAGTGGGCATCTCCAGAGCAGTTAAAAGGCAATGAATGACTGACCTGACAGCTGATTATTACAACATTTATAAAAAAGCACATTATAAAAACGTTTCTAGAAACGTCTGTGATGTGCCAGATCCTGAAGCTGGTGAGTGCCTGCCACTTAGAAAATACCGGAAAAGCAACTCTAGGCTTTTAAAATCTGCAGTCGAGTTGCTAGGATGTTCTCTCTCAAAGCATCTGCTTGAGTAAACAAGTGTTTTATTTGGCAAACACTTGCCTGTGTTCTTGGCGCCCAAGAGGGATGTTCAGCATCAAATAGAAGGGTAAGTACAAAGGCATTGCAGAAGTCCTGACATGTAAGAGTCTCGGGCGCACGTTCAGTACATGTTTGCTGCATATCGCCCCAACCGTTTAATTTCTCAGGAGCACTTATGTATTGTGTTTGGAATTAATTTCAGAGGCCTTTTGTAGTAAAGAAGAAAAGGGGTCGTAAACGCAGGAGGATCAACAGCAGTGTAACAACCGAGACCATTTCCGAGACTACGGAAGTGCTGAATGAGCCCTTTGACAACTCAGATGAAGAGAGGCCAATGCCGCAGCTGGAGCCTACCTGTGAGATCGAAGTGGAGGAGGGGGGTAGGAAGCCAGTTCTGAGAAAAGCATTCCAACACCAGCCAGGGAAGAAAAGGCCGACAGAGGAAGAGGAAGGAAAAGACAATCATTTCTTCAAGACCGCTGCCCTTTGTAGAAGTAAGTGGATGTTTAAACAAACTTTAACCACAGGGTGTGCCGGCATACCTGAAACACATGCCAGCCCATCCTTTCTCATTCCCGGTGTCGTGCCCCTTTTTCCTTGGAATGTGGTACTTTGTTTCTAAATCAAAATGATCCTCTGTAGAAATTACTCTGTAGAAATTGCCTCACTCTCAAGAACTTTGAAGACTAGTAAGAAGCACAGTGCACATTCCTTGATACTGCTGTGTGGTCTTCACCTAGTTAGCATTTTTGGACATCGGGGTATATATTGCCAGTGTGCAGTGAGTGTGCATTTCTGTTTTCCTTGAAACAACCTCCCAGTATATCAGGGTACATCCTAATATTCCAAATCCCAAATACAGACTTTCTTTTGAAGTTGACAGGGACACCCTCTTCTACAAACATACCAGACTCTAGAGAATTGTCTTCGATGCCCTGTTAAAGCATGAACAGTGAGGATCTGTAGGGCAGCGTCTCTGTAGCTGGAAGGCTGAAATGACTCTGTCCAAAACGTACTGCAGCCTAGGGAGCAGCTCGCTTCCTTTCTCTGGGAACCACAGCAGTTGCTGTCTGCGGCTGTTCTTCAGAACATAAGCCAGCACTCAGCACTCCGTGACTCCTTAGTGAATACTGCTATTTCTTGTTTCTTTCTTTCTTTCTTTCTTTCTTTTTTTTTTTTTTTAATTTCATCCTTTCCTTTTTAAAAGATAGGCTCTCAGTATGTAGCCCCAGCCGGCCTGGAACTCACTATATACAACACTGGCCTCAAACTCAGAGGTCAGCATTTCTCTGCCTTTCAGGTTCTGGGATTGAAGTGTTCTCTCTCTCTCTCTCTCTCTCTCTCTCTCTCTCTCTCTCTCTCTCTCTCTCTCTCTCTCCAGTTTTACTCGGAACTCAACCTGTTTCAGCTAGCCTTGTGCCTAGTGAGCCCCCAATACCTGTCAGTCTTCCTCTGCCACCTCAGTACCAAGAGGTTCCGGGCACAGGGCCTCCCCTGGTCTTGTGTGTGTGAGGCATCTGACCTCAGGTCTTCAGGACTGTGTGGGAAGCCCTGGACACTGAGCATCGCCCCAGCCTCTTGTGTCCATGGAGGCACAGAGAGAACTTGCTTTCCAGGTGTGGGAATCGAGCCTTATTGTTACGTGTAGGTGTTTGCTCAGAAGCCTCCAGATGAGCTAACACTGCCTCTCACCTCAGCGTTGTTCTCTTCACCTTTTATGGTCACACTCTACCATATTTCTTTCAGGATCTTCTCCTTTCTTAAAGGAGATTATCAGAAAACTCATCTTCTCATCTAAGGATGTATTCCTATAGAAACTGTATGTTTAGTGGCTCATAGAATACAAACATGGGTAGAGGCACTTGCTACCAAGCCTGACAGCCTGATTTTGATCCCCAAACTCACATGGTAGCAGCGGGAGGAAACCGATTCCTTCAGGTTGTCCTCAGACATGCTCAAATCTATGTCTAAACTTAAGATTTAGAGTCTAACTAGGTGGTGGTGGCGCACGCCTTTAATCCCAACACTCAGGCAGAGGCAGGTGGATTTCTGAGTTCAAGACCAGCCTGGTCTACAGTGCTAGTTCTAGGACAGCCAGGGCTATACAAAGAGACTCTGTCGCCAAAAAGAGGGGTGGGAAGATCTAGAGACATTGACATGGCTGATTCCTGCCATTGTAAATGGAAAGGAAATGGTGTGAGTAAACGGAAAAGTGGCCGAGACCTGGAGCTTGGCACTTGTGCAGAATCTATAACTAACGCACATGTTCTCGGCTAGTCGGTGCATGTGACTCCTGTAGGGGAGTTTATGTGCAATCACTTCATTACGTAAATGAGCTTACCTTGCCGGACTCACTCCATTCTGACACCAACTTTGTGACTTTGTTTTTATTATTCTCTAAAATGCTGTTTGTTTATTTGTTTGTTTGTGGACAGAAGCTGTCCTAGAACTCACTGTGTAGACCAGGCACCACCACCCAGAGAAAATAGTGTTTTAATTAGAAATCTCTTGAAACCTAGGTGTTCTATGTCTGCAAAGTTATTCATGAATATGTATATTTGTTTGCAATATTTGTATAAACAAACATTCTTATTTCTGTGTACATATAGGTACAGAAACATAGGTTTTGGAATTGCAAGAAAATGTTCAATTACATCTGATTTCTAATTGTCTTCTAAATCAGACTTTATATTTGAACAGCAAACCGATCCCTAATATACTGTGAACAGAATCACTGACTTAAAACAACAACAACAAAGCCCTGTGTTTTAAATATTCAGTAATATTATGATAATCGTATTTTAGCTTGTGTTATTGATAAATTGTGATGCTAAAGATGACGTTTACAGTGGTTCTGTGCAGTCACTCATTCAGTTTGAGGTACACAGTAAGTTATGCCTGTGCTGAAGAGATGCCTTGGTGGTAAAAGCACTGGCTGCTCTTCCAGAGGACCCAAGCTCCATCCCCAGCATCCACAGAGCAGTACACAGCCATCTGTAACTCCAGTTCCAGGGGATCTGATGCCCATTTCTGGCCTCCTCTGGTACCAGGCATGTGTGGTGCATAGACGTGCATACATGGAAGCGAAACATCCACACACATACAACAAAACACCCGCACACATACAACAAAACACCTGCACACATACAACAAAACAACCGCACACATACAACAAAATGAACATTAAATAATAATGACAAAGTAATGTCAGCTGGGATCATCTAAATCTAGCAAATGCCCACAAAGAGAAGGTCTTTTCCTCAGGAAGGTAGCAGGTCAACTCTTTGTTAACCCTTGAGTCCAGTGATGGTTTGGATATAACTTAGCATTAATCCTGTCCTGCAGTATTTTCAGATTTGTTGATGTTGAAATTGGTTTTTTTGTTTCACTTTTTTAGTATTGTGGAACTCCGTCTCAGCATGTCATTGACTTCCTGGGCCTAAGTCACACGGGTTGGCTCATTCCACAATATTCCTGGTTACCTTTCTCATCAACTCTTAAAGTGCTAAAATGAAAGCAGTGCTTGCTAATATATTTAGAGAGGTGTGTTAAGTTGTCTCTGGTTTTCCTTCCTAAAATGTGTGCTTTTCTGTCTTTTTGTCTCCCAATTAAGACGGTGTAGATGATAGTGCAGAACACTTGAAAGAAGGCAGCAAAGACAATCCCGAGCCTCTGAAGTGCAGACAAGTGTGGCTGAAAGGAGCCAAGCGGGGGCTCTCCAAGTGGAAGCAAAGCAAGGAGAGGAAGGCGGGGTTTAAGCTCAATCTGTACACCCCACCAGAGACCCCCATGGAGCCAGAGGACCAGGTGGCCGTCGAAGAACAGAAGGAGGTTTCAGAGGACAAGGGCAGTCCCGTGGGGACAGAACGGGAAGTGACAGAGACCGTGGAGGCCCTGCTGCCTCAGGATGGGGACAGAAGGGAAGAGACAGGCATACCTGTGAGTCCACACAAATTACCAGGTGAAAAGGTGGATGAGGAGGACCTCATCAAAGGTGAGGAGGAGGAAGAAGAGGAGGAAGAGCGGGAAGAACAGGAAGAGGAAGAAGGAACTTCAGAAAAAGACCAAGATGGTGCTAAAAGTAAAGAAAAAACAGAACCAGAGATCTCCATGGAAAAGGAAGACCCTGTACATTTGGATGACCATGAAGAGGACGAGGACGAGGAGGAAGAGCCGTCTCACAATGAGGACCATGATGCAGATGATGAGGATGATGGCCACATGGAGTCTGCCAACATGGAGAGGGGAGACCTCCCAAAAGAAGCCTTCAAAGATGCACTGGAGGGCCAGGAGGCTTTTTTAGACCTTAATGTTCAGCCGAGTCACTCTAACCCTGAGGTCTTGATGAACTGCGGTGTTGACCTTGCAGTGTCCTGTAGCAGTGAGCCAAAGGAGCTTGCTGGGGACACTGGAACTGCACCTGAGTCCGACGTGGAGCTCCCAGAAGAACAGACACAGAAGCAGGGCCAGAAGGACAGTGATGGTGCTGATGCTGAGCTCAAAGAGGGAGGCACAGCCACAGTGGAAATTGACTCCGAGACCGCCCAGGCTGTCCAGTCCTTGACCCAAGAAAACAGGGAGCAGGATGATGCCTTTCAAGATTGTGCTGAGACTCAAGAGGCCTGTAGAAGCCTGCAGAACTATACACACACAGACCAAAGTCCTCAAATTGCCACCACACTGGACGAGTGCCAACAGTCAGACCACAGTAGCCCAGTTTCATCTGTCCATTCCCATCCTGGCCAGTCAGTTCGTTCTGTCAGTAGCCCCAGTGTCCCTGCCCTAGAGAATAGCTATGCCCAAATCAGCCCCGATCAGACCGCCGTCACAGTACCACCTCTGCAGAACATGGAGACCAGTCCAATGATGGACGTCCCGTCTGTGTCAGATCACTCACAGCAGGTCGTTGACAGTGGGTTCAGTGACCTGGGCAGTATTGAGAGCACAACAGAGAACTATGAAAACCCAAGCAGCTACGACTCAACCATGGGAGGCAGCATCTGTGGAAATGGCTCTTCCCAGAACAGCTGCTCCTACAGCAGTCTCACCTCCAGCAATCTGACACAGAGCAGCTGTGCTGTCACCCAGCAGATGTCCAACATCAGCGGGAGCTGCAGCATGCTGCAGCAGACCAGCATCAGCTCCCCCCCAACCTGCAGCGTCAAGTCTCCCCAAGGCTGTGTGGTGGAGAGGCCGCCCAGTAGCAGCCAGCAGCTAGCTCAGTGCAGCATGGCCGCCAACTTCACCCCACCCATGCAGCTGGCTGACATCCCCGAAACCAGCAATGCCAACATGGGCTTATATGAGCGAATGGGTCAGAGTGATTTTGGGGCTGGGCACTACCCACAGCCATCTGCCACCTTCAGCCTTGCCAAACTGCAGCAGTTAACTAATACCCTTATTGATCATTCATTGCCTTACAGCCATTCCGCTGCTGTGACCTCCTATGCAAACAGTGCCTCTTTGTCCACACCATTAAGTAACACAGGGCTTGTTCAGCTTTCACCGTCTCCACACTCTGTCCCTGGAGGACCCCAAGCACAAGCTACCATGACCCCACCCCCTAACCTGACCCCTCCGCCCATGAATCTGCCACCACCTCTCCTGCAGCGGAACATGGCTGCATCCAATATTGGCATCTCCCACAGCCAAAGACTGCAAACTCAGATTGCCAGCAAGGGCCATGTCTCCATGAGAACCAAGCCGGCATCTCTGTCACCAGCTGCTGCCACCCATCAGTCACAAATCTATGGGCGGTCCCAGACTGTAGCCATGCAAGGTCCTGCACGGACTTTAACCATGCAAAGGGGCATGAACATGAGTGTGAACTTGATGCCAGCGCCAGCCTACAATGTCAACTCTGTGAACATGAACATGAACACTCTGAATGCCATGAATGGGTACAGCATGTCCCAGCCGATGATGAACAGTGGCTATCACAGCAACCATGGCTACATGAATCAAACACCCCAGTACCCTATGCAGATGCAGATGGGCATGATGGGAACCCAGCCATACGCCCAGCAGCCAATGCAGACCCCACCCCACAGTAACATGATGTACACGGCCCCTGGACACCACGGCTACATGAACACAGGCATGTCCAAACAGTCTCTCAATGGGTCCTACATGAGAAGGTAGACAGCCTGGCAGCTCACCGAACCCACTGGACCCCACTATTGGATTGATCTGCACAAATACCTTTGAAGAGTACGATTTCAAAACCAGCATTGGTGTGAATGCAAAAACATTTGTTGGCACCATTTATTTAAAAAAAAAAAAAAAAGCTGTATGCAGCAGAAAGCCTTATACAAGTTGTTTTTCTTTTTTCCTTTTTTTTTTTTTTTTGGTACCTTTATTTCTGTTACTTTTATATAAAATTCTCTGCAAAGGAAGGCCTCTCTTAGGACTCCAGTTGGCAGCAGCCACACGTTGTGCCTGCTTCCATTAAACAGTGTGGATACAAGCCCCTCCCCAAATCACCTGTTTTAATATTGAACCTTGAGCTTTTTTCCTTCCTTGTCTACTCCATGTAAATGCCTTTAGCATTTCCATTACTGTATATTTTGTTTAAGGTGACCCTTCAGCATGCCGCTAATGTCTTTGTTAGTGACAGTGCATTTTGTAGTACTGTACAAGTGTTGTGCTAACGGTAAGCCATTTCTTAAGTTTTTTGCCTTGATTAGGGTGCCCTAATTTGAGGGTTTAAAAAAAAAACTCTATTTTTGTTAATTATAAAACTGTAAAGAGCTATCAGAGCTATCCCCGTCTGGTTAGTCAAGGGGGTTTATTGCTAAATGTTTGGTGTAAAGTTGAGAAGACCCTTTTCCATTTTGGTGGCAGGCTCCTTTGGGGAGAGGCAGCTTTCTGTTTTATAAATGCACACTTCTGTTTATTGAATGAAGCATATCTCAGTGTCTATCTGTCAGGTTTTGAAGCATTTCATATATGTCCAAATACTTGGCAGGATTTAAAAAAAAAAGTGAATTTGGTGTAAAGTTGCTATTTTATGGAAACGCCTCTAACTTTACATTTTCATTCCATCTGTAGATTTTTCTATCTTTATAAAATATTGGAGTTATTTTTTAAGGAAAAATAGAAAAGTAGCTTGTGAATAGCTCAAACTAAGCTTACAGATCGCATGTAAAAAAGCAGAAAAGTTATTTGTGTCTGTTTATATTGCTTCCTTTTGTAGCCTTTGTACCTGTACAGGTGACAGTAAGGGCCAAGCAGGAGAGGCGCCACCTTGTATAAAATAGGAGCCAGCAGCACTCTTGTATTTATCTGTTCTTTTTAGTCAGTTACTTCAAAAAAAAAAGAAAAAACAAAAAAAAAAACAAAAAAGCTGTACATTTTAACATAAAATAAATTATGATGAGCCATTTCTAGCCTCTTGTGTCCTGTCATATTATGATTGATGGAGGATGGCCAGCTGAGCTGTATCATGTGTCACATCTCAGAACACGTACACAGTTGGGGAAATAAATTATTTAGTGTAAGTTCAAGTTACGAGATTTTTTTTCTGATTTGTTTTGACTTTGGGGGAGGGGTTGGCAATAAGTATGAGTAATATCTAATAAAAACCATCACATATACCAAATACCTATTTAATAAATTAATTTATAATGGATTTTAATGCTTTTCATGAAAGTTTACTTTATGCTGGTGCATACCTTCTGTATGCCAATCATTGTCTTTAAAATAAAGTGAGTTTGGTTTTTTTCTTTTTGACTTTGATCTTCATTTTGCCCAGAGCTCCCACACATAATCTAATTGCTTCCTTTGTACCATGTGTAGAAACCCCCAAAAGGCCTGGTACCACACCAGCAAGCTTTTTTTTTTTTTTTTTTTTTTTTTTTTTTTTTCTTAAAAACTACTGTCACAAGCATCTGATTTATGGTGGTATGTCTCAAGATTAATGTCTTGTAAAAGGTGCGAAAGTTTTACTCTGTTGTGAATGATTGTATGTTTTCTTTACTGTTTATAGTAACACACATATATAACATGAATGTTTATACACATTCCCTGGCATTCAGAGAAAGTTTTGACTGTGAGTCAAAATGTTTGATTACTTGATAACAAATTTAGAAGTAAATTCCTGGCCTGGTACCTGTATGTGTTTGGCCCACTAAGTTTGCAAGGCATCTAAACACAGGCTCCGGAATTCTGCAGATCATAGACACAGACCATAACTTGGCCTCAGGCAGGCAGGATAGTGCATGCGCGCCACAAAAAAAGGCCATCCCACTGTTCTCACCAGTACTTGCTTTCTGTGCGTGTGCAGTGGGGTTAGCATCCACGTTTTACCTTTGAGTCTTCTGCTCCCAACAAGCCAGTGGAGTAATACCTGAAGTAGATGAGGGAGGCTTTGAAGAAGAGAGAGAGGAATGTAATTTTTGGAGAAAGGAAACCTGTCTTCTGAGCGGCAGGCGTTGGTGTGCAGTTTCTCTGAACCAATGGCTGGAGCAGGCTAGGAGTGGCCAAGTGCCCCAGTGCTGCACATCTGGTGGGAAGCTGTTATATGTCAAGGAACCCCACAGAAACCCCTCCTCCACCTAATTTACTATCTTGTGTTCATAGTTTTTGGGGGTCTAGGCACTCCATTTCCCTTTGACAGAGGCCTATTAATCAGACCTTTGGCTTGTGGGAAGTCTAGACCCAGTGCTCCACCCCTTGCTTGTTTCACAGTCCAGGGGAGCTTATGGACCAAGTGCTAGTCGCTTCTCCACACCTGTCAGAACAGCACAGTGGTTCCTTGTGACTACGGGCTGGCTGTAGACCGCCAGGGTCTCACTGGTAGACGGCTTAGTTCCATCACAACTGGACACACCTGATGTTAGACTGGAGTCTGCTCACAGCCCTCATAAAACCAACAGCATGTTTTCTCCTTTGTAAGAGTGATCATCTGATGCCAACTGCACTTAAATAGCTCACGTGGTTCCTGCCCAGGTAGGCAAGCCTTGCTTGCCAACACTGTTCGAAATGGCTCAGACTGCTTTCGTCAACACTCCTCCCCCATAAACTACACCCACTCCCCAGGAGTGGAAGGAACACAAGTTAATTGCCTCCAACTCACCCAGCTACAAATTGTAAGCTGCAGTCTACCCAGATGACTTAATCAACTCTCCTAAACACTAGTCTGAAAAGACCCAAACGTGTCACCTGATATGAAGGCTCAGCTAATGAATCTGTGATGCCATAAAATCTGTACTGTTCTGTGAATGCAGGGTCCTTTATTAGAAGACTCCAGGACAGGAGCAAGCTTCTACCATTGCTTTCTGGTGTGGCTTTCCTGCATCTTCCTCCTCCACCCAGGCCTATTCTGTAATCCCTGGACACACAGGCCTATTCTGCAACCCCTGGGCCAAGCTGCATCTTTTCTTCCTCTCTTATCCAGTATGGTGATGCCCAGAATTTTATTTCCCTCCAGTCATGAGCATTTATTTGGCCTCTGGATTCCAAGTCAAATTTCTAGGATCTTCTGCCCCTGTGGACCATTTGCATCAAGTACAGGCTCCCCTTGTGTCCCCAGATAGCCCCTTTTCCTGCTGAGGAAGAGGGCTATGGAAGCCTTTTTAAAGGTTTTGTTTTCATATTAAAGATAGGGGTGTTTTGCCTGCACTATGTGTGTGCATCCCTGGTACCCATGGAAGCCAGAAGAAACTTTGGATCCCCTGGAACTGGAGCTGCAGGCAGTTGTGAGCCACCATATATGTGCTGGGAATCAAACCTGAGTGCTCTTAACCGCTCTAGCATAGGTCATAAATTAAAAACCAGCCTAGGTTACATAGACAGTGAGATGCTTTCTCAGACCCTCCTAGCAATAAAGGTTTCACTGTGAGAAATTAGCTGTTTTATTTTTTTTTCTATCGAAGGTGGCTAACCCACCAAGAGCCAGTATTCCCTAAGTCACCCCCACCCTGTAAAACTTTTATTCAAATCTTTTCATCTCCCCACCCTGTAAAACTTGGAAGTAAAGACCTTGGCTCTTGGCCATTTCCTCTTTCCTTCATTTCCTTCTCGATGCTTTCCAAATTAGCCAGTCTAGGGTAGACTGTGAGGTTGAACCTCGGCCAGTGGGGGAGCCAAGCTCCCCCTTGCCTTAAGGATAGACAAGGCCGTCTTGGCCTCTGTGCTGCTTACCAGCTCCATTTGGCTTGAGCACGCCTTGTTTTGCAATAAGAAGTGGCCTTACCCAGTTACTTTGTATTTGTTTCAGAGCACAAGAGGAAGCAGATTCTTTCTCAACACCCCTCTAACTTGTCTAAGGTGGCCTCTCCCCACCTTTTCCCTCCTATATCCCACACTGCATTTTATTACCATCTGCATTTTGTAATTTCTTAACCCGGTTTTAGAATGTGCTATAAATCTCAATAATGCTTTTTAACCAAGCAAAAACCTTGCTTATGAAGTCTTTAAACACTGGCTAAATTTTTTGCTCCTCTTTTCTCTTACCTCTAAGTCCCAGGGGTCACCAGGAAGAGACCAGACACCCAACACTAGGTGCTCTGCTTCAAAAGGACTCCAATCCAGGGAGAGGTGGGGCGTGGTATGAGGTACAGGGACAGCAGCTCGAGAAATTCCAAGTGGGACTATATATGCTCTATCTCTCCTACATGTGCATTCACTTAAAGCGAGTACGTCATGAAAACAGAAATGCTGGATAGTGAGTGGATGAGACTACTAGTGGGCTGACGTCAGAAGGGACCAGCAGGATGCTCTGATGAAAAGCCTCAGTAAAAACAACTTTAACGCCGGGTCCCTCTCCCAGGATCCCTTAGCTCATAGACACCAAGTCAAAGTCATCAGGGAGTCCTCTCCAGGCTTTCTACCACTCCAGTGTTCTCTCCCTCAGAACCATGCGAGCCCTGCTTTGTCCAACCAAGCACCTGGCCAGCCTAGCACTGTCTCCACTTCAGTCTTACTGCTGCCTGACAAGACCAGGTGACTCCGTATGTTAGCGGTACAGCTTTGCCTGTTGCCTTTGCAACTTTGTGGCAATGTTTTGACTTTTTAACTCCTTACAAAACCAATATTGTAACTGTTAAGTGAGTCTCTGGTAATCTCCCTTGCGTGTATGTTAGGATGAGGATCCAGCCTCCTCCAGAGCATCCTCAGAATTCCTGGAAACCAACCTGACACAAGGTTCCAAGCTACAAGTGGCATTAAAGTAAAACAGCTTCCCCAGGTGTCACAGTGACCTGGATGACTTTACCCAGCTGCCCTGGACTCCAGCACCACCCTCCAACAAGAACATCTTTTGGATTCTGTAGTTCACACTGGAGACATGGGCCCAACCCATCATTCTCCAGCAGGCATTAGATGCCCCTCTGCTTTCTCCAGGACGCTGTCGTTAGTGGTCCTCCACGGCGGGTCTCTTCCCTCAGCAGCCTCTCTCTAGGTTCTATCTCTAGGCTCCTGGTTCTAGAAGCCCGCATGGGGGGTTGTGCTGCTGCTGCTGCTGCTGCTGCTGCTTTCTCAAGAGTGAAGAATGACCATCATGTACTGACTTAACTCTCAACAGCGACCAGCTCACACCCGAGCTCAGCTGGATGCTCTGCCTTCCAGTTCCATGCAAACCACAGGTCTGCAAACACTTGAGGGTGTGAATAAAAACAAACCTCCCCGCTACCTTACTGGAGCCAAAGGGAAAGGAGCGTTCTGGTCCCCTAAAAATAAGTGTCCGGCCTCTCCTTTTCTCCCAGATTGTGAAGTTACAATCTTCCTTGTCTACATTTACCACAACTCATTTGGGTGATAGCAGCTCTGGCTGTGATGCAAGGAAAGGCCATTTCTGTACAGGAGCTCATGACGCCACGCCCACCCCTGACAGGCACATGCGCACTGGCCGCCACTGAGAAAACGTGGTTCCTCTGATGAGACTTTTTCCTCTGTCGTAAGGCCAGTCCTGTAACACAGCTTACCAGGCAATTTTCTGTGGTTCCAAAAACAAACAAACAACAAAAAAAACCTTCTATTTTCTTAAGTTATCTTTTTATAAGAACGTGATTTTTTCTTTTCTGAGCCAAACATTTTTAATCGCAACACTGTACCCACATATTAAAAAAAAAAAAAAAAAAAAAAAAAAAAAAGCCCAAACAACCCTTTTTGCTTCCAACTTAAAGGACAGGAGACTGTGACGAGCGGTACCTTTTCCTTACCCAGTTCCCCCTGCAGCTGACTTGACCCACCATGAGGCAAAGAACTAGACCCAGAGGAGACAGCGGTCATCCTCCCTGCTGCCTTTGGTTTCACTGTCTCATCTCCATGACCAACAAAGCCTCAGTGCAGACAGTGCAGATGGGCTTCAGCCTTCCGCTCTGGGTGTCAGGGTCTCTGATCCTACCTGAAGAGGCTTCCTACAGCCCTAGCTCACTGTCCCCGGTCCCGGCCTGTCGCCGCTGCTTCACCAGCTGCTTGTCAAGCTCTCGGAGCTGCTTCAGGAAGCCCCGGTTGGGCAGGACACAGCGGTTCTTAGCCACTTGTTGAATGGCGTCCACCAAAGTCATGTTCTTGTGAATCATCAGGTAGGCCAGAACCAGAGTTGCTGACCGGCTTCGGCCCATGGCACAGTGAACCAGGATCTTACCTGCAGGTGGAGGGGACAGGAAAGCCAGCGCTGAACGGGACAGGGTTCCTCAACCCACATTTATTCTGTTGCCCACAGTTTGGCTTGGGCCACAGCCCCCCATCAGCAAAATGGGGACACAGTCACTTGGCTCTTTCATA